TTCCCTAAAATACAAAAACAAAAGAAACAAATGTGTGTATATGTATGTTAAATCTCAATGTATTTTATGGATATTTCTGTTTAATTCCATTGATGAAGAAGGAAGTTATGTGCCAATAAAATAAAATTATAGTCATTGAGTTATCAAATCCCTGTATTAAAAATTCCTCATGACATTGGCAATCTGTAGAAAACAAGGAGTGGAGAAAATCACAAGATTGTTTTTCTTGGGAGACCACCCACTTAAGGGTCCCCTCCTGTCCCTCTCTAGGACAGGAGCTTTCTTTCTCCCAATAAATATATTCTACTCAGAACCTCCATTTGTTCCTAAAATTCATTCTTTGGTTTTAGAGAACACAAACTCATCCCAAGTACCTTTCAAGTTGGGAGTTTCATTTTTTTCCCCTATATTATTTGGAGGTCCCTGTATGAAGGACTCTTTTTGAAAACTATAAAGTAGTTTGAGTTCACTAACTCACATTTTACTGCTTTACTTTTCCAACATCCCAAAACAATCCATGTAAGATAGCATGCTAAAACAAACTAAAAAATTATAAAACACAAAGTTACATTATACAAAAAGAAATGTGTTCAAAGTAGATACACGGTTTCTGATTTCTGCCACTTACTGCACAGTCTTGAGCAGACCCAGAATTTCTAGGTCTCACGCTTTCATAAAGCCAAACAGGCCGCTGAATTAGCTCTGGACGGCTCTTCAAGGCTGTTTGGATACAGTATAAAGTTCCCAATGCTACCAGCAGAGTTTTACTGCATTGTAATTACTCGTAAGTAAAGCCTGGTGAATTGGGCTGGGGAGGTGGCTCAGTAGAGTAAGCGCTTCCCTGGCAAGTGCAAGGGCCTGAGTTCAATCCCTGGTTCCGCCAAAAAAACCCCAAAAACCCTGGCGAATGAAGCATTCATTATTAATCTGGCTGTATTCACTGACATTAAGCATGTGCTGAGCTCTCCCTTGGGAAGTGTGTACCCTAGCGATAAAAGCTGAGATCTAGGGGCCCTTGAGAAGGTACTTCCATAGCCACTTGTAGCTGACATCAATCAAATCACTCCCTAAAACTACTCTGGTGAAGATATAAACCTGCACCG